TTTTCCCCTACATTATACTAAGTATAGGGTGGGAACAATCAAACCAGCAATTGGTGAGGACCTGATCCTGCCTCCACTGAGCTACTTGGCCAGACTCCTCCTGGCTACTACAGAGTGTCTGTAAAGCAAGACCTGCACAAAACGCCTGCAACTCACCACGATGCCTGCTGCGGGCCCGATCCTGCAAACTCTTCTACAGGACCGGCAGTTTCAGCAGAGCCCAACCAGCTCCCTCGAAACAGTGAGGGTTTCAACACACAATTCCTAATCCAAAATGTTCGAAGGACGACTACTTTTGTTCCTCACATTATTCGTCAGACAATAATGTCATTAATTCTTTAAAAAATAGTAATTAGAAACATCGCCCTTGGTGAATCTAAGCAACCAAATAGCTGAGTGATAAACAGATTTTAAATTAAACTATATAATCAGTTTGAAGCACAACCAAGAAAGCTTATATGCCATTAAATTAGACATCAGTGCTATTATTAATTAATGTTAATGCCACTTAGCACTAGAAAAATGTGCATTTTCATGTTTATTTATTAATAGGAAATAATTCCCACTGACATAATGAGGAATAAAATATGATAACACATCCTGACCCCACTAGAACTGCACTCCCTGAAAGCCAAAACCTGAGCATCTGCCCCACTGTGCCTGCACAACATAAGGCAAATGCATAAAAGAGCTGCAAAAGAAATTTTAGTTGTGTCTGCATACCTGGCACAATTTTTTTTTTTTAAATGCACTGGGACAAAAACAGGAATCTGAAGAAGAGCTAAACACGACATTCTGCTAATTTATATAGTGTTAATGTTTTATTCCAATAGCCAAACACCCTATGGTTTGCATTGTATGCTTTTTGCCTTGAAGTCACCATACCTGTATCTTTTGTTATCCACGGGCACAATATCCATAGCAATATAATACTGCTGATGTGGGTCTAAACCTGAGATCTTCACTCTCATTGCGGGAAACATCCGCCTGAACATGGAAAGAAAGAGGTCATGTTTAATATGAAACAGACTCGGGAACGGTTGTTTAGGAAAAGTAACCGGTTCGTGGGATTTTTCTCGTTCTTCCTTTTAGCCTATAGAGTCCTTTTGGACGATTATAGTTACAGAGCCATGAAATGGCCCATTCGATATGTCAAAACAGATTTTTAAAGTGCATTTACTCGAACAATGCTTCGTATGTTTTGGGATACGCTTTGGGAGTACAGCTATTACCACATCATTTCAACTTTATTGTTAGACAGTAAATCATTGGGGTTTGAGACCTGACTTCAGCAGCACACGCATTTAAAGCCCGTTTGAGGTATCAGCTGGAAATATTATTTCTGGAGATGTGCAACCACCACCTCCACGCAGGAAGACCAGTACCTAGAGAAACGCAAATTGCCACTGAGGTTGCGACTGACAGCAGCAAACAGGGCATCATTTCTGCAGCAGCAAATTAGAAAGCGAAATCCCCGGTGACACAGCGGTAACGCCGCAAGGATGCGGCTGTAAAAGCCACCATGCGCCCGCTGCGACCCGCCAATATGGTCTTTATTGAGACGGACTTCCTGCCCGCAGCCTACTAAAGGTGAAGCGCAAGAGCTGCCCCGTCTTTGAAAGGTACAGTAAAACTTCTTTATTGAAAGCAGAAACGAACTCACGAGGTAAATTCTTAAAAAAAAAAAAAAAAAAAAAAAGCAAAACACACAAACCACGAAACACAAACGTTCGCCATTTAGATCCTTCTGTGGAGAAAACGGCGTGATTAACCGACGCCGTGGTTTTAACATAAAAATGCACTTTTTAGCTCATGTCTGGCATGCCTTTTGTCAAGAAAGTTCATTCTTGAAGCCAAAGAAAAAAAGAAACGTCCTAGTGACGAGCTGACTGCAAGCTAATGAAAGGTACTTTTCTGTATTTTATAAACCCGAAAGCCATTCCAGTTTATTCAGTATTTGCTGCTGTTATGAAAAAAAAAAAAAACCAAAACAAAAAACATAAATCAATTAAAAGTCGTTACTGGAAAGAAAAATCCTATCTCCGTTATTTCTGAATGAGCAAGAGGGTAAACCTGACTGCGGTTAACTAGTTTTCGCTTCTACTTCAGTGCACCTGTAAGATAAAACAGAAACTCCCCGACTGGACTCTCTTAAGACAAATGTTGCTTTGTGCTGTTTAAGACTGCGTTTCAATCACTAATAAAGCCCCTCTGAAAACGCAGAGGGTAGCATATGGATCCAATAAAATATGTTTTTGTAATTTCTAATAAGTTCAGATACTTTTATACTACCCAGGTTTTTGCCATGTGTATCCACTGGAAAGGGGAAAAGTTTCCCCTCCGAAGGACACGGCGCTCCCAGACCTCGCCCTAATGAACGGGAAACCCGAAACGCCACATGCTCCCGGTGCCCATCAGCAATTATCGCCATCTACCTGCCTCGTAAATC